TATTGTTTTATTTTATTTCTTATTTTCACTTTTCATTTTGTTCTTCTTTTCCATATAAGGGGGATGAGCCATAGCCATTTGGTTGGTGCTGAGGGCCCTAGTGACAGAAGCCACACACCAACAATGCTGTGTGGTCCTGATTCTGTAATTCTTGAAAGCATCCTGTAAACTGATTACCATAGGTACACATCATACCTAATTGTTCACATGCAGAGTTGATGGTTAAGCCAGGCCTTTATCTCTTTTGTTTCTGTACCTTTGTTACCTAGCAAAATCTCACTTCCGAAAGGTTTATTTGTGAAAGTTTCTGTGTGAGTTTATGTGCACGTGGATGTAGATGCTGACCTCTGTGCACTCACAGGGACCAGAAGAAGGTGTTGGATCCATTGGAGATGGAGTTGCAGGTAGTGTCAGAGTTCCAAACTCCAGTCCTCATGATTGGTCAACAACCGCTTTAAGTAGCTGAGCTTTCACTCTTAATAAATAGGAATGGGACAGAGGGTACAAATTTGAAGCATAGACAATAGACCTGGTGATAGGAGTAACTTCTTTGGACTGTAATTGAGCATGGTGAAGTAGAGAAAGAAGCACTGTCTCTGTGATGGAATGCCAGGGATGCTAGAGATGATGCTTAATTCATATAACACAGCCTTGAATGGGCAATATGCTCACCCCAGCCCTAGAGAATCTTAAGAAAGCAGACTGCTGAAAGAGATTTTCACTGAAAGAGTTTTGATGGTCTGGCTATAATCATGAATATAGTGTATGTATGTATGTATGTATGTATGTATGTATGTATAAATGAATATACAGTAGAAAGATGTGATTGTTCTGTATACTCTCTTACACAGAATCTACTACTAAGCCTGACTGCAAGGGTGAACTAGGAGCCAGTAAGCCCTACTTCTAATCCTTATCCTTACAAGCATTGTGAACATAGGTGAAGATCCTTGTGTCTCTGAACTTCAGCTTCCTCATTCGTTAAGTCGAGAGAAGGATAGCAATCATCTCAAAGGCTTCTTTGGGAGTTGTATGAGCCATAGTTTGTAAAGTACTTAAAACAACACCATCCAAGAATGATTTATTGACTCCTACAGTCTACCCTTTCTTCTTTACCTCCATAGCCACCAGTTAAGTTGACTTTTATCTCATTTCCTGTCTGGTCAGCTCTCTTTGACTCCAAAGTCACTTATTCTTAATTAACCAGTCACTAATAAGTTAACACTATCAACACATCATTTGTTTAGAGGCCAAACTTGAAGCACCTCTCTGCTCATATTTCTTTCCAAAAACTTCTTTTCTGATCTTTCATCCAAACTACAGGATGCCACATTCAATGTATTTCCTCCTGCACATTTGTGATGTTTAGAATATCCAGATCTCAGTATCCATTGCCTCATCTCCATCAGTTTGCAAGTGCCCTGCTCATGTGCATGTATGTCAGTGGTAATTCCATACTGTAGTAAGTTTGTGCATGCATGCAAAAATTGTGTTCTGTGAAAGTTTCTCTGACGGTTTTAATCCCTGCTTCCTTCTTCCAACCATAGCAGACTTGCCACACTATATTTGAGTTACAAGTTTATATATCTTCTTAAGATGAAGTTCTTGGGAACAAGTTCAATAAATAACACCCCTAAGTCTGGGCTTGAGAGTTAGATAAATGATCATTGAATTTGTACCTGAATTCCTTTCTGGTAAGTCAGCTTAATTATACCATTATAGCAAGTTCATCCATTATTTCCTTTGGTTAAAATAAACATTTAACTTGCATAAAGTAAAATTTCATAGAATCTAGAATTATGTACTCCCAGAGTTGCCAAGAATAATTCCCAGGAGCCAGCATTGCATAACACAGTAGTTCTGTGGACCACATGATTAACATGAGAATTGTGTTTCTCAAGAAAATTTTAATTCCCTCCCTAGATGTATTATATTAGAAACTCTCGAGATGGAGCTCTAAAAATTTGTGTTCTACTAAACCCTCAAAATGTTTCTGATATAATTCTTAAGTGTGAGGAGTAATTAGACCATCAAGTCAGACTGCCTGGGCTCAATTATCAGGGTTACCCGTTATTACACAGCAGAACATTTCTTAACCTCTCTGTGTCTCTACTGCTTCTTGTATAAAATGGGAATGATCAAAACTAGAGCTGCTAGAATGAGTAAATGAGGTAATACATAGAAAATACTTATCCTAGTGCTTAATCAGTTAATGACAATAAGTAGCAGCTCTTAGTCTTGCAGAACCAGTATCCTCATGACATACACTCTCAAAGGGATGCTCTTCATATTTCCCAGTTCTTTAGATTTCATACCCAAATTCTTTCCTTGTTGTCTTTCTTTCATTTCCTTTCTTTTGTATGTCTGGGGCCTGAGCCTGATCTCTTGGGTGCTAGGCAATTGCTCTATTACTGAACTGTACTTCCAGACTTCCACAGTACATTTTCATGCTGCTCTACACAATTGCAGATGAAAGTTAAATGGAACAAGAAACAGGGACTCCTAGTTCACTGAGGGTCATTTTACCTCCTATTAACCAGGAAGCATGAATGATACCTAATCATAAGAGATATTATAAATCAACCAAAGGCAGATGTTTGTCCTATTTCATTAGTTGGCTAATGTCTAAGGAAAGCCACTTTTGGTTTTGTAATACATCTTTATATTTTTTTATTCCTTTCTCTTTTCTCTAGTAATGTTGTTTTATAATAGTGATTGCATATTAAAATTAATACTATGTAAAAATGGAAGATATTTCCAAACCTTAAAAAAACAAAATTATTTTCAAAAATTGTTTCAAGATATGATCTTTTATGTAGCCTTGGCTAGCTTTGATATTCTGATGTTCCTGCTTCAGTCTTCTGAGTGATGAGAACATGGGTATGTATCAACAGACCCAGCTTAAAAGCAACGACAGAGAGAGAACTTTTAATACTAGCAATTACTTGAAGTGGACAGACAATATTGAAATACTACCTTCTGAAATTTTCTAAAGACAATATATTCCCCTATTCTTTTGTTCTTAGGTTAACTTTTCAATGTCTTAAAATTATTTAGAAGCAGTTCATCAGGATTCTTTTTTAACCTTGTTTTTATTGAGCTATGTACACATTTCCCCCCATTTCCATTCCCCTCATCCACTCTTCCCTTCCACCCTCCCCTATGTCACCAATTTATTCAAGAGATCTTTTTTTCCCCATTCCTAGGCAGAACCATGCCTGTCTCTCTTAGGGTCCTCTTTGTTGCCTATGTTCTCTGGGGTTGTAGCCTATAGCCTGGTTATCCTTTACATCTAACATTCTTATGAGTGAATACATATCATGTTTGTCTTTCTGGGTCTGAGTTACCTCACTCAGGACTTTTTTTTTCTAGTTCTGTCCATTTGTCCTTGTGTGTGGTCGTCCTCTCCTCCTGCATCCCCACCCCCTGAGTGATACTCCGTTGTGTAAATGTACCAGATTTTCTTTATCCATTCTTCAGTTGAGGGGCATCTAGGTTGTTTGCACATTATGTCTATTACAAATAATGGTACTATGAACATAGCTGAGTAAATGTTCTTGTGCTATGACTATACATTCTTTGGGTATATGCCCAAAAGTGGTATTGCTGGGTCTTATTGTAGATTGATTCCCAATTTTCTGAGAAACCACTATACTGATTTCTAAAGCAACTGTACAAGTTTGCAGTCCCACCAGCAATGGAGGAATGTTCCCCTTACTCCACATTCTCTCCAGCATAAGATGACATCAGTGTTTTTGATCCTAGACATTCTCACAGGTGTAAGATGGTATCTCAGAGTTATTTTGAATTGCATTTCTTTGATGGCTAAGGATGTTGAGTATTTACTAAAGTGTCTCTCGGCCATTTGAGATTCCTCTGTTGATAGTTCTCTGCTTAGATCTGTACCCATTTTTTTTAGTTGGATTATTTGGTCTTTTGATATATAGTTTCTTGGGTTCTTTGTGTAATTTGGAGATCTGTTCTCTGTCAGATGTGAAATTAGTGAAGGTCTTTTCCCATTGTGTAGGCTGTCATTTTGTCTTGTTGACCTGCTCCATCAGAATTCTTAAAAATAGTCTTATATTACCAACATGGCAAAGTATATAGATAAACGACTTCTTGAAAGATAATTACAAGGAATTTCACTATCGTTAACACAGACTAGAAACAAATGTAAGTTATTTAAAATGTGCAAGGGGCTGACAAGATGGCTCAACAAGAGTTGTAACTTGCCACCTTAAAATCAGAGTTGAGCCCCCAGAACCAAGTGCTTCAACTCATCCTATGACTTTCACATAAATGGGATGGTATGCATGCACTCAGAAAAATAATTGTAATTAAAAAAAATTAACAGTGTTCATGTATAAAAGGATCCATTTTAAGGACAGAACTTTTTCTTGAGATATTTATACAAACTTGTTTATACTTGAAACAATCTAATATTTGACAGGAAATTCTTTGTCTGGCACCTACTACATAATTTCTTTATTAGAAAATATTAAGAGAGAGAGAGAGAGAGAAAGAGAGAGAGAGAGTTCTCAGCTTTCTTAGAAATCTTCATCAATTTTATGATAAAAATATTTACTGTACTATCTTAGCATATTATTATGTACAAAATTTGGCATTCAGAGAGTTAACATAGAATTATAGACTTAATTCTTCAGCAATGGTGTTTAAACTATTTTTGAATGCATCTTAACGAGGATGGGATTGAAAAAGGGAGGAGAACCTTGAAAGTGGTAAATAATCTTGTGATTAATACTGTGAAGAAATGAGAAAGGCTACAGTGAAACTTATCTTTGAATAGCATATTTAATTTTAGGTATCCCAATTTAAAAAGGCAAATTAAGGAAAGTTTCACAAATTCAAAATAATTAAGGGAAAAGGTGACAGTAATTAATGAAGAAGGCTTGCAGGATCTCACTTGATAGAACATGAAACAGTGCTTAGAGGTACAGATGATAATTTACTGATATTTAAAGACTATGAACAATGAGAAA